TCTCTCTCTCTCTCTCTCTCTCTCACACACACACACACACACACACATATTAAGATTCTCCTTCACTACTAGCCAATCCAGCAAAATGCACAATGAGTAGTCTTTGTTGTGATCCCCTCTCAGTCCTCAGGAGATCCCACAGGTAGTGCCACTGGGCTTAAGACAGGAGTTGGGGGTTCCCTGTTGTTCTAGGCAACATTCTGAACACAGATCCACAGGGTCAGGAAGGCAAAGGTAAGCAGTAAGGGTCTAGTGCAGCTTCTGATGTCCTCTGCCCCTCACAGTGGTGAGCCACATCCTCTTTGAGAGAAAGGACCCCTCTTGTCCAAATCACAGAGCAATCAGGAGTCACAGTACAGTTGCCCAGCCCTTCCTAACATGCTTCACCTGAAGGGCTTAATCATAAGGAAATAACACTCCTACCTGTTGGACACAAACAGTCGCCATCACTGGTTCTCGACTGAAGCAAGACTTCAGGTATCCAAGAATTTCTTCAACACACTGTGGGAACAGTAAGACACTAAATGACTCTCCGGTGACTGACTACTGCTGTAAATCAAAGACAAGACAGCCTCCATGTAAACTGTGCAAATGTCACAGAAAAATCAGAGGAAATTTTCAGCCTATCATCTTAACAGAGCCAGTAAAAAGTCTAGGAATTCATAGGGCTGTATCAAACCACTTCCTGTGCGTTTCTACACCTATTCCCTCAAGCATTCAGGAAAAAGATAATCAAGTATCTACTATCCACTATGCATCCAGCCCTGTTTTCAGAGCAGGCACTGAGAAGTATGCAAAGGAATCAAAAGCTCTGCATGTGTGGAGCCCCTGAGTACAATCAGCTGAGCAGAACGCCCAAGGCCCTGTGTGGCCCACTGACCACCAGCACTGGAAGCACCACACACAGTCTACGAAGTGGCTGTGTCCATGTTACAGTCTCCACGCCCGCTCTCACCATCATCAAAGTCAGGTTCAAAAATTCAACGACCTTCTCAAGAGCAAACAAGGGATCTGACATAGGACCCATCACCATCCAGGACTGTAGCAGCAGTCGCCCAGCTCCTCCCTGCCACTTATCAGATGCCGCTGTTTGTACCAACTGCTAAAAACAACACCTGGCAGGTTGGAAATGCCTCTGCCCCTCTGTAGAATGCAATTTTCCACCTAAAATGCTATAGATTTCTGTTGGCTTCTAATATCCAAGGGCCAAATATTCTGTAAGTTCTGATTTGTTCAAATCAGATTCTCAACATCCAAAGCTGTGCTTTTCAGGGCTGAATTTGTTAGATGTCACTTTATTTTTCATACCTGAGAACAAATGGTCTAATAAATATTAACTGAAAGAATTAAAATAGAATCATCTGATCACAACGGCCTCTCTAACACACACATGGGATGCTTAATGCGCAGCAGAAATGATACTAGGCACACCAGGCATGGTGGCACACGCCTGTAGTCCCAGCACTCAGAGGCAGAGGCAGATGGATCTCTGTGAGTTCGAGGCCAGCCTTGTCTCCATAGCGCATCCAGGTCAGCTGGGGCTACAAAGAGACCCTGTCTCAAAGACGGGAAAGAAAGAAATGGCACTACAAACATGGAGACAGAACGGTAGTCCTAGCCTTCTGAGAGCTCCAGCGTGACAGGGAGGCAGGGCACTATCAGAGACACTAATCTACAATGTAAGAAAGAGAGTTCCACTTTTGCGTTTTACCTCCTTCCTGAACAAACAACAGAAAATTTTTTTAAGGCTCATGCTTCGACACCACAGTCCTCGAGACACTGAACATCAGGCAACAAGTATCAATGACTCTGAGATGAGACATGAATGAGGCAAGCAATAAGTGTCCAGCCCCAGCTCAGTGTCTGGAGAACATTCTGAGGCTGGGACATGGGGGATAGAGGGAAAGCTTCAGAGGCCAGGCAAGGAGCAGCGAGTCCAAAGAGTCCACGACCACCATAGTTCACAAGGCGCTGTACCAGGTAGACCAGACAATACATGAACCCTAGAGACTTGGAGAGGGCAACCGTTCAGTATTCCAGAGAAAACTCAGAAGCACATGTGTGAGGAGGCACCCCAAGGTCAAGGCCTGGTAAAGAATCATTGGGAAGAACTGGAGGGAGCCATGCTTAGCACTTACACAGGGCTGGGAACAGACCCCTCTAACCCAGCCAGACAGAAAAACCATCCTTTACAAGACACTGGGCAGAGCATTCAAGAAGGTCTACCCTCCTCTAGTAGAGTGGAATAACCAGCCTCAGTTCCAGGTAACACCAATGGATCCAAAAGGTATATGAAGATAACTTACTAGAAGACAAAAACACCCAGTGCTCAACAGGAAAGTTCACAGTGTAAGGCATCAAATCAAAGATTAGCAAGCATGCAAGAAGACAGGAAAATTCAATCAATACTAAGGAAAACAATCAATTAGCCAAAAACTTAGAACTGACAAGATTTAAGAGTTAGCAAAATCCATTAAATTAGTTATTACAACTGTATTTAAAAAAGTTAAATAGTACAGTGTGGTAGTGCACACCTTTAATCCCAGCATTCAGGAGGTAGAAGCAGATGGATCTCTGTGAGATCAAGGCCAGGCTGGTCTATATAACAAGATTCAGGCCAGCTGGGGCTACAGGGAGACACTATCTCAAAAGACCCCCCCTGCCAAAAAAAAAAAAAAAAGTTAAATAGATCTTGATGGTCATAGGGCACTTGCAGCACAATCATGAGGACCAAAGTTTGGATTCTAGTACCATGTAACAAGATGGGCAACCTGTGCACACCTGTGACCCTAACTCCAAGGGGAACAGAGGCAAGAGAATCTCTGGGGTTGCTGGTTTCCAGCCTAGCCCAGAAAATGTGAGTGATAGGTCAGGAAGAGACCATGCCTCAAAGAAACAGGCAATAGTGATAGACAGGACACCTGGCACTCTTCTGGGCTCCATGTGGACATACAGATACATGCACTTCCGACACATGCACATAGACATGTAAACACAGACACACACAGACACACACACACACACACACACAGACACACACACACACACACAAATATTTAAGTAAAGACAGGATATTTAAAGAGATATAAATCCAACTTGTAGAGATAAAAACTACAACGTTAATGATGAAAGATATACTGGGTGGGATTTTATAGCAAAATCAGCAACAGAAACTACTAAATGAAAAGGAGATAAAGTAATCAAAGACTGGGAAAGAGGGGCTAGAGGAATGGCTCAGCAGCAGGTATTGTTCTCACAGAGGACCTGAGTTTGGTTCTCAGCATCCACGTCAGGCAGCTCACTACTGCCTGTGACTTCAGCTCCAGGGGCTCTGACTCCCTCTTCTGGCCTCTGTATATAACAGCACACGTGTACATAGCCACACAAAGATTAAACACATATAAACATAATTAAAAATAAAAAAATAAATCTAAAGGGAAAAACACCTTAAAAGAGCAACAATGAAAAAGCAACGATAAGCTAACGCAGCTTGAAGCAAGTAATTAGGAGATCCCTAACCCCATGAGCTGGGGGATGGGCAGAAAAATATTTAAAGAAGTAAAAACCCCCAATTTTCTAAATTGTAGAAGACTAAAAAGCCTCAGATTCAAAAAAACAACAAATCCAGGTACAAGAAACAGCTGAGAAGAAAATCGGTTGCTGAAAACTAGTATGAAGTCTTAGAAGGCAGAGAAAACATAGCAGAGCAGCAAGTACTTACAGGAAATGTATATTCCCATAATGCAAACGGTCTCACTTAAACTTCCTATGTATAAACATGGGCACAGAGCCAGGCGTGGTGCCATGTCTTTAGTCCACTCGGGAGGCAGAAGCAGGTAGACCCCTGTGAGATCAAGGCCAGCCTGGTCTCCATAGGGAGTTCCAGGGCAGCTGGGGCTACAGGGAAACCGACCTTGCTTCTCCCCCCTCAAAAAAGACCACCCCCTGCAAACATACACATAAAAAATAAAAACATAAAAAAGTGCAGGAACCAAGTTGATGTGTGGGAAAAGTGCAAGGACTATCTGGAAAGAAACACAAAGTGTGTAACAACTAAAACTGGACAGGTCTGAGTGCGCGTGAAGAAGAGCGTTCAGAGCACCTGCACCCAGCTCAGGCGGGCTACTTTCATTGTCATTATCCCCTCAACACAGAATGACTACTTGCATAACACTTACATTACATTAGGTACTATAGTCATCTGAAGATAAAGTCTACAGGTAGGTGGTGGGCAGTCTTTGAAACCGCTATGTCACTTCATAAAAGGGAGATGGGAAGAGTGGGTCCTGGAACTAACCCCAGTGGATACAGGGGGTTGTCTGACTCACTGTGGGATGTATCAGACATGAGATGTGCTGGAGGAGATCTGGCAGAACCCTTAACAATAGCAGGATCTAGGTGTGGGCACATGTGGCCTTTCCAGGAAACAGGGTAGGGGAAGAGCACCGCACTCAGAACCAGAGAACCAAGTCCCAGCTCTGCTATGTTCTACGGTACAGAAGGAACCAGCCAAGTACCTTTGCTCAATCTGGTTTTGCCCCTTTCTAGTTAGTAAGGTCAAATGAGAAAATAAAGGAACACAAGCATATACTTTTCAACATTTTCTGGACTAAACTAGGTTTAAAGCAATTAATCCTCATTTGAATGGACATGGTAACAACCTAACACAATAACAAGACCCAACAGAACTAACCTCACACACTGCAATGCTCCATTGCATGTAGTCATGTCAGTCCTCCCAGGCTGCTAGAGCTGCACATGTGCCGGAGCACTAGGTGTCACTGAGGTAACCTGACTCAGTGGTGTATATCATCAGGTTCAAGGGAAAGAAATGAAATACAAACCTTCCCGATGTCTTGCAGCGTTGCCAGCTCTAGAATCTGAGAGAGGACGTCCAAGGCAGAGCGCAGGAACCCCCCAAACTTTTCAGTGCTGTTCTGTAGATCCAAGGTGACCTTGGCAAGGTGGAAGGAGAGAGCACACGGTTACTGGCACCACCGCAGTCTGGTTATCTACAACAAAGACACAAATGCCATCTGCTGCGGGGAGATGCTCTGCAGTGCTGCCCTCAGCTCTTACCACCCCAGGGACGTCTAGTAACTGTCACTATCAGATGCAGTCAAATCAGTCTTAGGGATATTAAGATTCTAAAGGATGCAACATAATTAAAGTACATCACAGTTCCCTGTTTTTATGGATTCAGAGGGTGGGTCATGGATAAAGATACTATGTGTAAGAACAAAGACAAAGGAGAATGCTTAGGAACAGAACCACTATAAAAACATTAAAACAGAAAAGAATTTGCCCACTGAGTTTAAATTTAACTACATATGAGGATAAGGAAAACTGAGCAAAGGCTGGAGACAGGCATGGAACACGAAAATGAGAATGAGTCTAACCTGGGAGTGCACTGGGATCAACCCAAGTATGCCAGAGACAGGGAGGGACACCCAACAGTGACCACTGAGGACACAAGGCCAAGAACAATGCAGAGAAGTCATATGGGATCAAGAGTCCAGGGAGAAAGAGCTCCACTTCAATTGGCAGTGCTCCTCCTTCCCCCGGACAACATGAAGGGGACATGAGAGAAGAGGAGGAATGAAGAAGGAAGAAAAACAGAAGAGGGAGAGAGTATGAGGAAAAGATGCCTGAATGGAAGAGGGAGAGGAGGGAAGGAAGAAACTCAGTGCTGAGAACAAAGGAAAGAGCCGGGCATAGTGGTGCACACCTTTAGTCCCAGTACTCAGGAGGCAGAGGCAGGTGGATCTCTCTGAGTTCAAGGCCAGCCTGGTCTACATAGCAAGTTCCAGACCAGCTGGGGTTACAGGGAGGGAGACCCTGTCTCAAAAAGACCAAAAATAAAAATAAAAATAAAAATAAAAATAAAGGCAAGATGCTGGATGTTGTGGCGTATGCCTTTAATCTGAGCCCTCCAGAGGCAAAGATAGGCTCAAGGTCAGCCTGGTCCACAGTGACTTCCTGGGACTAAGGAGATTCAGTCAAAACAACAACAACAAGTAAATAAACAAATAACAAAAGAAGAAAAGCATGAAAGAAAGGAAACACAGACCATACTTACGACACCTGAACTGAGGAGTTGACAAAAGTGGAAACAGGAACCAGATGCAGACATGGAAGACCCCAGAAAGGCCAAGATTCATTTTGGCTTTAAGGCCAAACACCCCTAGAACCCAAAGTTTCAAGAAAGAAAAGGAAGGGGTCCCCAAATTACAGATGACATGCACAGAAACATGCCCCCATGTGCACTTTAAATGCCCTCTTCTGTGGGTTCACATGAGAACATGCAAACAGAGGCTCTAAATATCTAGTAAATGTGGCTGAAGCTTTTTTCACTCTTTCAAGGTCACCACTACCCTTCAGAAAAGAATCTGCATAGGTTTATAAATTGTTTTCCAAAAAATGAGAAGAGTCCAATCATTTAAAAAACAATCACCAAGAAATAGCAAGAGCTATGTGAACTAATCCTTAAAGTTCCCCTAAAAACACCAGGCTGGCCTCGAACTCACAGAGATCTGCCTGCCTCTGCTTCTGCCTCCTGAGTGCTGGGATTAAAGGCGTGCGACACCACGCCAGGCAAGGATCTTTGTGAGTCCAAGGCCAGGCTGGTCTACATAGCTCCAGGACAGCGGGGGCTACAGGGAGACCCTGCCTCAAAACAGCACACACACACAAAGTCCTTAAACTTCCATAAACTGAGTGGTGAGGGACGCTCCAACAAAGAGAGAAGCACCTCACATTCTCCATGAGCCCATAAAGGACTCACTTAGCCTAGCCATTTCTACCTACGTGAGCCCACACACTCAAAGTGATCCCACCAAGAAAAATCATCTCCACAGTCTCTGTAATTAGATAAGCTTATTCTAATGTTCACATGAAAAAACAGACAAGAACAGCAAGAAAATCGTAAAGAAAAATGAGAATTATATCCGGAAGCCACAATGATCTTAAAGACATGCTTCTATGGCTGGGTGTGGTGACGCACTGCTTTAAACCTAGCCCTTGGCAGATGCAGGTTGGATCTCTGTGAGTTTCAGGCCAGCCAGGGCCACAGAGACACAGTGAGCCCTGTTTCAAAAAATAAAAATAAAATAAAATGCTTCTAGATGAACAGACTGCTGTTAAGATATAAATGAAACTGCACAATCATGAGAATTGAACATTTGATAAAGGTACGACTGCAAAACAATCAGGTCAGGGAAATGGATTACTCACTGATGTTGGAGATAACTGGTTAGACAATTAAGAAAAAATAGAAATTAAATCCAAATTTGTTAACAACAAACTACAGTCAGATTGAAAGTCAGAGGAAAACAAGATGACAAAACTCAACATACTCTAAGGAAGAGGCCACACAGCAGACTCTGCTGCTGGAAAGCGGGCTCAGGGGCCAGAGGAATCCATACACTGAGAGAGAACTCCCTAGCTTATCACCCCAATCATAGGTTTGTGCTGAACAGCTGCTCTTCTTCCTTGAGTCTACAAACTTGGTTAACGCCGGGCAGACCTGTACACTACAGTATGAGCCTCAGACACGGCAGCACCGAACCTCTGCTATAACTGAACTGCAGCACTGCACTGGCCTGAGGAGTGCTTACGGCATGTCTCTGAACCCAAGGTGGTCTTGAGAAAGAAGTCAGGAAACAAATACCACTCACAGACCACAGGAGATTTCTCCAATATGATATTCCAAAATATCCATAAAGCTACTATAAACTTTCCAGCACTCGGGAGGCAGAAGCAGGTGGATCTCTGTGAGTTCGAGGCCAGACCAGTCTCCATAGTGAGTTCCAGGGTCACCTGTTGCTATAGGGAGACCCTGTCTCAAAAGAAAGAAAGAAAAAAAAAAGAAAAAGAAAAAAGAAAAAAGCTACTATAAATCAAGCCGAAAGGCAAACTTGAAAAGCTAATTCTAGATCCCATCTCGAAGGGCTTCATTACCTGCAGGCATGCATATGTGTACATGGACATGCATCCTTTATATCTTAAGAAAAACAACCCACTAGAAGAAACACACGTTCAGAACATGCAGAAGACAGTACCTTATAGTTGGCATGAGTGGCTTTGAGGACATCATGCAGTTTCAGGTAGGAAGGAAGATGGTAGAAACTCCCTAGTGAGGACGATTTACTTGCTGCAACAGGTCCTGAGGCATCTGACTGTCGAGAGGCTTTAAGAAAAACAACAAACAAACAAGCAACCAAAACTAAACTTCTGGATCCAAGGAAGAAAACTTTCCAAGTTTAACAGAGATTACTGCAGTAAGTGTTTGAGGAGAAACAAACCAAACCTTTCCCTGAACTTTCAAGAACCTGAGCTGGGAAATGATGAGAAACTGGGCTGACAAACATTAAGAAGAACCTGAGCTCAAACGCATAAAACGGAACAAGACCCAGAAGAGCATGGCAGGGTGATGCAGTTCTCTGTAGCTTGGGCTGCTTCTAGCTGACTGATGGCTGAAGCTAACCCCAGATCTCTCTTAGCCTAAGAGTGCTGGATAGCTTTAGTGTCAACTTGACACACCTGGGTTGAGGGAGCCTCAATTGGGGAACTGCCTCTATTGGACTGGCCTGTGGTCATGTCTGAGGGGCATCTTCTTGATGAGTGATGTGGAAGGGCCCAGCCCACTGTGGGTGGTGCCACCCCTGGGCAGGTGGGCCTATGTAGCATAAGAAAGCAGGCTGAGCAGGGGCCAGAGGAGCAAGCCAGTAAGCAGTGTCCCTCCATGGCCTGTGCTCCAGCTCCTGCCTCCAGGCTTGGGCTCCCCGATGAACTGTGACCCAGGAGATGTAAGCTGAATAAACCCTTTCCTCCCCAAGTTGGTAGTGGTCAGAGTATTTTGTCACAGCAATGGAGAAACAAACTAAGATACTAAGTAAGGCTCCTGAGGCACATGCAGCTAACTCCAGCTAGCTCAGTTCTGGGCTCAAAAGCAATTAACAGGGCAATGTGGACATGTTCTGAAAACCATGAGGGCACAAACATTATCACTCAACTGATATTAAATGTTCAGAGCCAATCATGTACAGTAGACCACTCCAGCCTCAAGGATGTGTGATGTGGAGTGTTTATTCAGTTACTTCATCAGAGAGATGATCAGACCTATTTGTGAAGTCTACAGCTTTTAAACAGGCAGATCCCCCTGTACTACTACAGTCAACCTTTAGAATGTCATCTACAAAACATATTTCAGTATTTCAGTCAAAGGACACAAAACACGTTCAAAGTTTAGAGACCTCCTGCTGTACAAAATGGAGACAAAAATCAACAGGGAGGCTTTAAAGTGTTCTCACTAGAAAAACTGGCAAGTGTGTGAGCTAAGGCATGTACTAGGCTTTCCACAACACACACACACACACATACTTGACAGCATGTGTACACAATGGGAGGGTGTGCACAGTGGGTATCCCAGAGGACAGCAGTCACGCACCTGTTTCTCATCCCAGCCCCACCAGGAGCAGACACGGACTCTGTCGCTGCTGTCATCCTGAAATTCCAGCCCTTCTGTCTAACACTCCCGAGGTTCAGAAACCTCTCTGAACACCCACACGCTTTGTAGCTTCCTCCAACTTAAGGTGACTACCTACGCTGGTTCTCTCCATCAGTCTGTCTCTGCCTCTTTTTCTGTTTCAGATAAGGTCCCTACGTAGCTCAAATTGGCCTCTAACTCTCAATCCTTCCAGCCCCAGCCTCCTGGGTGCTGGGAGTAAAGGTGTGTATAACCACAGGTGGCTCCCGGTCGCATTACTGCTCTCAAACAGGATCACTCCGTTCCCGTATCAGAATTTTCTCCGAGTCACACCCATTCTGTACCACCCCCATCCTCCTCTATTCCTAGCTACCTTTACCCATTCCACTTCTGAAAATCAGGAGTCCTCTCTGCAAGAAGGGGAGAAGGAAGGAAGCATAGGAAAGCACCCTTGTCACAGTGATGCCTCCAGAGTCAAGGGATGGTTGGTCACCAAGTGGCACGTAAGACACTCAAGACCATGGATGGTCTGTAGACATCCAGCAGTTCTCATCTGAAGCCCCAGAGAATCGTTCCCTGACTTTACTGCTGTGGACTAGCATTCTGTGAAGTACCAAGCTGTCCTGTCAGTCTTGAGAAGAGTGACCGTAAGCCCTGCCCTGCTATACCCCGCCCTGCTCCTCGGCAGTGTCCTACCTGCACTGGCCTCGCCTCCTTTCTTGGGACTCATCGGAGCAGATGCTTGCTCTCCTGGTTCCTTCTCCTTCCCTTTTCGTCGAATAGGACTGAGAGATGGGGGGTTTGTCAGTGAAGGCAATGCTGCCTAAGATAGAAACCAAAACACAATCAAGTGAACCCAGTAACTGAAAACTGATACCGCTTTCCCATGTACTAAAGTCCTAACCCAGACACCTCGTAGTCTTGGTTGTACGTGCAAAGCTCAGATACTACAGATAAATCTACTTTCACCCACATGATATGTACATGGTAGGTATGGCTCAGAACTTCCTCACAGCAGCATGGGAGAATGGGTTGGAGAAAGGAGGGCCCTCTAGGAGTTAAAAGGACCTGAGGCCACTGGCACCGCCAGCTGTGCCCCTCTAATAGCAGGCAATCAGGACATTTTACATGAGCCATGACATGAGCAAGGCACAATGCAACATTTTAAACTTCATTTTTCAAGTGAGAAAACAGTTTCAGACAAAGCCACTTCTTCAGTGTCACAGCAAAACAAGGCAAAGCTACAAGTCAACAAACCTAGATGCACAGCCCATATTCTTTCCAATATGAAACCTCAAAGGAATATAGGTCCTCCAGGCTCCCACACAGGAGAATGCAGACAGGACAGGGCATGCCAAGCCTTCCCTGTGCCCCTCCCTTCCGGGCCTTAGTAAAGGGCCTGCTCCACGTCTCTGCCCTCACAACTGCTGTAATAATGGGGGGGGTGTACTGGGAGATGAGGCCATGGCAGCAGGAACCCCCATAAATGGGATCAGTGCTCTTATAAGAGACCCCAGAAGCTCGTTTATCCCATCTACCACAGAAGGCCAGGCCTCATGAGAAAAAATGAGGAATAAAAGGTCACACCCAGGCTGTTACAATGGTGGCCAAACTGTGACAGTCGCCATGTGCTTCAGCCTGACCTGTAAAGACTGCAGAATACCAGAGTAATGGCTATAACCAAGCAGTGCACAAGAGGGCAGGAAGGCTGCAGAGCACAGAGGAGAGGCTTCCACATCCGACAACTGTTGTGGGAAGAGCCTCTGACAAGGACACCAAGTGCATGAGCCATCAGCACTCCTCAGAAGACACAAACCCAGAGCAGAATGTAGACTAATGATAGCCCAGAGCCACGGACATTTGGGGTTCACAGCTTCAGGGTACAGGGCTCCCTTTGGGGTTCTAGGGTTGTGGCAATGGCTGCTCAACTCTGTGGCACTTTTTACAAAGATAAGTGATCCCGGTGTGGTAACTCACACCTGTAGTGTCAGCACTCAGGAGGCTGAAAGGAGAGGATCACTATGAGTCCCAGGCCAACCTGGCCTACCAAGTAAGGACCAGACTCAAAAACCAGAAACTGAATCGAACACTTAAATTTTATGGAATGTGAATTACCTCAAAATGCAATTTTCAAAAACAGGTCAGGAGGTGCTTCAAATAAGACATAGAGGTGTGTGCCAGGACAGTGACAGAGAACCCAAAGGAAAAAAAGTGTATATTAATGAGCATGCACATGCATATGCATGGGGCGTTTGTCCATGTGCACATGTAGGTATACATATGTGGATCTTAACAAGGTATTACATAAGAAAAATCAAATATAAGAGTGACAGAAAGTAAAGCCGTGGTGCATGTCTCTACCGTGACAAAACGCAAGGCGAGGACGAGGGGCCAGAGGAGAGGACATGAGGACCAGTGGCAGTGGAGGCATCTTGCACATCCAGGAGCCAGCCGAACAGAAGCGTTGTGCAGGCCATGGCAATGCTGGACTACAGCTCAAAACACCTGAGGCCCACTCGCAGGCCTGACTCTCCACTGCCTGTCCAATACTGGAACCACTACTCCCAAGGGGCTCTTTACATTCAAAATGAATGAAAATTAAACCCATCAGCTCAGTTCCTAAACTACACTAGCAATATTTCAAGAGCTCAAGAGCCACAAGTGGTTAGTGGCTACTGTCGTGACCGGTACTGACATAGAGCATTCCCACTGTGGCAGAGTGCTGGCCCAAAGAGTAGAAAGAGAACAGATGACGGACAGGACAGCACCTTTAACGGATGACTGGAAAACTAAACCAGACAGTGCAGGGTGAGTTGGAGGAAACACAAAAGGCCATGTGGAGAGACTGGAGCGAACACTGAGGCACAAAAGGGACCAGGGCACAGAAGGAAGGCGGGGCTGCTGAGTGCTACGAACTGAAGAAAGATGAGGGGCAGGAAGAGTGCCCTGGAGGACGTGATCAGAGAGCAGACGGACAGAGGTAAAGAATGGGCAGCTTAAGTGGGGGGCGCAGGCCCGCCACACAAGGCCAAAGACCTCACCACAAAGGTCCACCCCTGAGCAGGGAGAAGGAAGCTAGAGAGACTGGGAGACCAGGGAGAATATCAGTTCTAAGCTTTCATGGCTGACACCAAAAGAGTACAAAGTATACAGCTGCCTTGTATGTTAAATATCATTTCTAGATACGAGCAATTTTCTTTACTTAACATAAGCAAGAGTGTGGAAGGAACAAACTACTAGTAATGATGCTCTGGTAGCCCAATCATTGGGCAGATGATAGTGGCTGTCCCCAAAGAAGTTACCTTGATTGCTGGTCCAGGAGTCACATCATCCAAAACGTGAGCACAGATATTAATCACCTTCAGCAGGTGGGAGAAAAGCTGTTCCACCATGGGTACCAGGGTCCGATCCCCTAGAGCGGGCCAGACCTCCTCCTGTCTGGGGGCTGCTGAGTTGGCTTCTTCTTCAGAGGCCCATGAACTTCTCAGAGACTTGGGAGCACTGGCTGTGACACAGGCACAACATTACCTACTGCCTCCAACGTGGCGTGTTTCTCACACTCAATCTGTGCTGATGTGTGGCTGGACCTCTGTATCCGACAGATACCTCAAACACATGAAAATGGTATCTACCCCCAGATCTATGGTTCCCAATAGTCACAGAAGTCACTACTACCCTCTAGCTCAGGATGCAATCCTCACAGCTGAGGCACAGCTGGAGTGCAGGCCTGGAGATGCCACCCCACTGCTCTCTCTCCATCCCTTTGCTCTACTCCCAAACCACAAGTGTGTGGCTGAGTCTGTCCAACATTAACACCCTATCCCTCTGTACATTCTCCAGCCCCAACTCAGACAGCTGAGAGATCTCTCTACAACACGAATCTGTTAGTAACCTCCATGACACTCAGCAATGGTAAACAGAACAGGGAGAGATTCTTAAATAAGGGATTGGCTCCCTGCTCCCAACAGAGTCACTGGACTCCATCCTGGCTGACTACATTCTTCACTCTCATTCCTGTCCTCATGTGACACCCACAGTGACTTAAACTCCTTCAACACTGTGCAGTTTTTCAGATCGCCAACCCCCTCACATATGGAATACTTGTATACGTGTATGCTTTTTTCAAGCCCATAAATCTACCCAAAAGAGCATTTCCAGGCATTCTTTCATAGCTAAGCTTGTCTGCATGTGGCCCTGTTGATCTACAACCACCTGGAGAACGCAGCCCTTACGTTCTGCTTTCTTACATTCCAGAGCTCTAGGCACCGCCTGCCACATGGGGTCCAGTAAAATCAAATGCAGATGAGCATGCCCATAGCTAAACTGAGGTGCTAGTCTGGGAAAAGCCTGCTCTAAAACAGCACAGAACAGCACAAATACATTCAAGCAAACAGGCAGCATCTGAAATTTGGACTAAAGGAACCAGCTGTCCCCGACAATGACTTTAAATCTCTCTCGGGTGCTCATTATCTACGAAGCCCCCATAAGGAAATGGGAGCTAAGTCCTAGAGCCCTGTCTCCACTTATTAGTACCTGCAAGCAAGTTTCCAGCCAAAATCAAGGCATCCTGATGGGCCGAGAGATCCAATGGAAACCACGCTGACGAGAGCAGGGTGAGAATCATGCTGGCCATCCCAACAGTACAGCTCTTCCGAGACTCATCTGCAGCACTCAGTGGGGGCACTCTGGAAGTGGACATGTGCAAAGTCAAGCACAGAAGTTTCAAGCCAATGAACGGTCTTCCTTCTGCTCCCAGGAGGAAGACATGTCATGAGACATTCATTGTAGAGTTATTGATGTGGTTCAGGTTTTTTGATTCAGGGTCTCACTCTGTAGCTCAGCTGGCATGGAACTGCCTATGTTACTTAGATGGTCCTTAAACTTGTGTCAATCCTCCTGCCTCAGCCTCTCAAGTGCTACAACTATGGAGTGAGATACGAGCAATTTTAGAACTGATAACCAACCACTATCCTTACTGTGCACAGCTCACAGAAGTCATCTGAGAAATAAATACTGTATAGAGCTCATTAGAGAACCTGAGTGCCTATTCGGATGTGATTTTGCAGATTTTACTCCAATGCTAAAGTTGATCAGAAACAAGCCCAGTGCACGACCTGGACTAGGAACTAGCTGCTCAGTGAGTCTTCATGGAAGGGACAGTTGTCTGTCTACATCAAGAATACAATCAACTTTAAGCAACTGTTGGCCACAGACAGACAAAGAAGAGATCTGCAGGTTTCTTCTTTCTGAATGGGATGTGAGCAATCAAAGCATCTCAGTATTCAGCACAAGTGAAGGCTTATTCTAGAACTATTCCCAGATCTAGTAGGCCATCTATTGGAGGAAAGCTATTTTTGAATGAACCCTAGCAGCAGTCCCTAAATTACACTTTGTAGTTCATCACAATTTTGGATGCTAGGTCATAACTCTTTTCCATTACCTAGTAGTTTTAAAAAGAATCATATCAATTAGAAAACTCTATTGCCAGCATATGAAAACTCCATAACTGAACTCAGATAATACCCTCAAACCCCCAAAATAAGCACATGGAATTCATTAGTTACAAGTTCTGCAGGGTTTTGCGACCGTCCCTCTCACTAGTTTTCACATACTGCACAGAGGAGACACAAGAACCTCATCAGATATTCTTTTAAGAACCAAACAGCAGACGTAAAAAGAGGATATCCGGGATTGCGGCAGCTGTGCTTGTGCTGTGGTGGGTTAACCGTACGCTGAGAAGGATACATACCCACAATGCCAACCCACACTCCAAGTGCAAACTGGAAAGGCTGCTGAAAGCAGACACAGGGCTTCACAGCAGCCGAACTGCAGAGACAGGAGGGGGAAAGAAAATCATAGTCAAATATCACGAAGGCTCACTGAATTAGAGCTTCGACCTTTATAAAAACAAAAGGAGTGCTTGCTCCGGCAGCACATACACGAAAGTCGGGACGATACAGAAAAGATTAGCATGGCCCCTGCACAAGGATGAAAAAAACGAAAGGAGCCGGGCATGGTGGGGCACGCCTTTAATCCCAGCACTCGAGAGGCAGAGGCAGGCAGATCTCTATGAGTTCAAGGCCAGCCTGGTCTACATAGTGAGTCCCAGGACAGCTGGGGCTACATATAGCTCAGTGATAGAGAATTTGCCTAGCATGTATGAGACAGTCAGTTCAACTCCCAGTTCCACAATAAATAAATAAATAAATAAATAAATAAATAAATAAATAAATAAATAAATAGAAACAAAGGAGCCAGGTATGGTGGTGCACATCTTTAATCCCAGCACTCAGGAGGCAAAGGTAGGCAGATCTGTGAGTTCAAGGCCAGCCTGGTCTACGTAGTGAGTTCCAGGACAGCTGGGGCTACAGGGAGACCCTGTCTCAAAAAAAAAAAAGACAAAAAAAAAATCAGGGCAACTGTGTTGTAATTCTTCTAAAAACTGAACACAGGAACATCATTTTCTAAGCTGGTATCAAACTACACCCTACAGTTCTGTGCTCTACTATCATTCAACATTAAAATCCAGATTATCTCCTCACATCATTAAAAATTCTCCGAAGCATTGTATCAATATGTGTACAATGTATTTTTACATGCACACAATTTTATCATAATTAGAATTTAATCAATCTTGGATTGGTGGACATTAGATCTTTTCCAGTTTCAGTATCATGAAACAAATCTCTATTGGCATTTCCGATCTGCTCCCTCAGAGTATACTACGCTGAGTTACTGTGCCATGTATACTAGAAATAGTTAAAATTTCCAGTACATCACCAACTCAGATTATGAAGTTCTTAAATTTTTTACATTTATATTTTTTCTTTTTGGGAAAAGAATGCACATGTGTACCACTCCCATACGTAGAAGTCAGAGGACAACTTTCAGGATTCAGTTCTTTCCTTCCATGGTATGGGTCCAGGGGATCAAACTCAGGTGATCAGGCTCTGTGCCAAATGCCTTTACCAACTGCCCCATCTTGCTGGCTTGTTTGATCATTTTTTAACTGACAGCTTCCTAAGTTGGTGAATTAGCTTACAAGGAGCATGTATAACTTTAGATTCTGTTGACAGAAGCACATTTTCTTAGCAAGTACTACAAGAGAAGGGCCCCTCATATAGCACCTCCCCACCGTGACCACACATGTAGTACAAGGCAACATCCTTCAGCCCAAGCAAGGAGACTTACTGTGAGTGCCCGTGTGGTTGATGTGACCAGTTCATGAGAAACTGCAGCAATAACTCTTGAGAGACTATTTTCCATGGTGACATCAGTTACACTTGGCAGTAAGCTATAGCCTCTATAGATTCTAGTGAGAAAAATGCAGAGACTTAAAACCTCTTAAAGTGTGTATTTTTCAAGATCAAATAGCAATTAAAAGTTTATGATTAAAGTCTTGAAGTAAAACAGACTAGGAACAGGACTGGGGTGGGGGTGTAGCTCAGTGTAGAGCACTTGCTTAGCACACAAAACGTATTGGGCTCTATCCCCAGCACGCCCCCTTAAAGAGACTAGGAATAAACTTGTTCATCATTTGGAAAAAAGTCTGACTTCCACCACAGCACAGGAGCCTCACTTTGTTTACTGTGTGCTTGCTGTCCCTGCAATCCCTCCATACTGTGAGTGACAAAGCCATACTGATTCCAACAGGAAAGAAATGCTTTCTCCAGCGCTGAGCTCCCCAGGCACCATCTCCATACTCCACTAGTGTCACCCGTCCACATCTACTCCTACAAAGTTTAATTCTCCAGCTGCAGGTAGGGGAGATGGCTCAGAGGTTAAGAAGTGGTTGCCACTTTTACAAAGTCCTACCACCCACATGGTGGCTCATGATCATCTATAACTGCACTTCCAGGGGATCCAATGCCCTCATCTAGCCTCCAAGGACATTGCTTGTACATGGTACACTTAGAGACATGCAGGCAAAACATTCATACACTTAAGGAAAATGTTGTAAAGTCTTCTTTCTCCAACTGTTTAAATGAAGCCCACGTGGAGCTTTGTGCATCAGCTCATCCACAGAACCACTGATAACGAAACCATGGAGACAGATTGCTCCTCTCACACAGCAGGTAGCTGAGAGAATATGGAGCAGTGAGTGTCTGCGATGCAGGAGCCCAGCAAACACCACAATGGTGACACTCAGACCTGGAGGGATTTTCAATGAGGCAGAAAGCAACCAATTTAATGGACCACTAGACTTATCTCTTCGTACCTAAATATTCATATTCCAAAATGGAATTCGGAAAGAACAATTTATACGCACATTTGCCAAATTCCTGATTAAAAACACTCTTATACAGCTTCTGTTTATCTTTTTAAAAATATTTTACTCATTTATTTTCATTTTATGTGTATGAGTGTTTTGCCTGCATGCAGGTAAGTGCACCACATGTATACAATGCCTACATAGGCCAGAAGAGGGTCTGAGAATCGAACCCAGGCCATCTGGAAGAACAGTCACTTCTCTAGCCCCCAGGCTTCTGTTTATCTTAAGGTAATGTTTATAATGAAATCTTTTGGGGGCAAAAAAAAAAAAATCAGTACTGCAATTACATAAAGGACACTATCTTAGAGGAAATACAAAGATAACCTAGAAGTTTATTTCCGTATGTTCTTTGTCCGTGAGTAAAAATGATATTCATTTAGGAATAATGGCTTTAAAATTTAACAAGCTGGGGGCTGGAGAGATAGCTCAACGGTTAAGAGCACTGGTACTCTTTCAGAAGACCCAGGTTCGGTTCCCAGCACCCACATGGCAGCTAACAACTGTCCCTAACCTCAGTTCCAGGGGATCCGACACCCTCATCTGGCCTCTGTGGGCATTGTATGACATGGATGCACTTACATACATACACTTACACACAAGTTTTTTGGTTCTTTAAATCAGCAAAAAGGTATGATGGGTAATCTTGGTACCATGTAATCCAGCTTTAAAAGCAGCACTTAACAGTGAGAGCACCCACCTTTCTCCTTGCAGGCTCTTTACACTACCCATGCTTTAATTCCACACACAACTCCACCAGCTGAGCCTGGATACCAGTCTATCATGCATTAGCAGGGACACTAACAGTGAGAATTTCCCATAGACAAGTTTTCAGAGGACAAATGAAAGTCATAAACGAAAATGTAAATGTCAGTTTGAAGAAAGTAAACTCATTCCAAAACTGAGGATTATCGGTGTTGTGTGACTGCGGCAGGGCTGAACCAAAGGAGATACAACAAGTCAAGATGAAAACAAATACCCTGTCAGTGGAAGATGACTGACTCCAATTTTTTCCTGTAAAGTCTTTGGTTTTAAAAAGAGAACAGGATGGGAGGCATTAACTGAGGCCTACTCTGCTGACGGTCAGGATGCAGTGGGCAGCGTACCTGGTTATGGTGCTGACAGAAAAGTGTGATGGTGGCTGGGTCTCATGCATGAGTAGCTTCAAGTAAACACTGCTTTGATCTTTCGCCATAGCCACTACTGGATCAGCCTGTCCTTGGTCACATTTATAAAACAGCTTTGGGACAAGCCTAATGTAAAGGTAAAGCTAATTTACTCATAAGGCACATGAAATTCACCCATCACCACCCCGTCCTCCAGATGGCCAATCCAAACTAACATCCACACAGCAGTCAAGGCTGTGGAGAGTGGCCACGTCCAGGCGGCCGAAACAAGCCTAACTCTTCTTTCCAGCTCTACTCTCTACACTCTGGAGTTTTGACAAAAAGCACATTATTCTATACAGGTTAGTGCTTTGCTTTTTTCAAATGATCATTTTAGACCCTTTTGGCAGTAAATAACTTTTTCCATAGTTAAAAGGGCTGAAATGAGTCAAAAACACTTAGGCCCACTTTCCAATAGCCTTTTGATTCTTTCTACTCTCCCATTCTGGAGAACGGAGGGAAAGAAACATTGATAAATAATACCTTATTAATGATGCTGCGGCAACATGCCGCACTCTGGGGTCTTCATCCCCAAGCAGGCAGATGACCACACTATTGAGCACACGGTCCTGCAGTTTTAAAAGCTTTAAAGAGACAGAAAATAAAGTTAATTTCTACACTTGACTAACTTTCAGATATTTTGTTTTGGGTTTTTGTTTTTTTTTTTTGAGATGGGGGTCTCACTATGTAGTCTGGCTGACCTGACCTGAACTTTGCTATGCAGACCAGGCTGGTGCCTAACTCCCAAAGATCCACCTGCCTCTGCCTCCCACTTGCTGAGATTGAAGGCATATACCACCATGCCTGGCTAGATAAGGCATTTTGGAAAGCCAGTGAGGAAGAAGTCAAGATAAAAATTAACTTTAAGTTAATACTATATGGTGATGACCTTCATCATATAAACTATGAAAGATTTAACATGACAGGCATTCAGCCAAACTTTATACCACTAGGGAGGCCCTGCTAACACAGTTCCCAGAAGGTAGAGCCTACAGTCTCACAAAATGAACTGCTTACCCCTGTATAATGATGAGCCCCCCGGTGTAAACTGTCTGCTTTCATCTCCAAAAAATTCACCAGCCTAAAGAAAGAACAGATCCAGTAGTGAAGTCATTCACCCAGCAGACACTCTGTGCTGAGCTGCAGCTCCCTAGCAGTCGACACAAAGGCACCTCACCTGAGTGCCTAGAGCAGCCCTTCTTTGAAATAGCAGAAGAACTTAAATGGGCCGATTCATCAGAATGTGCACCCACTACTTCAAGAGAATAAGTGTTCCACAAATGAGCTCATATGCTCACAGAGGGACAAGCACACTGCAGAGTGTGAGCACACAGCTGAGAGGACACACTATACCCCCCCCCATCAGCTGTGTGAACTGCTCCAGAGTCTTAACTATGGGGTGACACTTAGAATAATCCTAGATTCAGAGATGTTCTGAGGGCTAGGCTTGGTTGCACAGACCTTTAATTCCAGAACTTGGGAGCCAGAGGCAAAAGGATCTCTGTGAGATCGAGGCCAGCCTGGTCTACATAGGGAGTTCCAGGCCAGTTGGGGTTGCAAGGAAACCATGTCATGTCATAAAATAAAATAAAATAAAATAAAATAAAATAAAGCAAAACAAAATAAAATAAAATGCCAGAAATGTTCAGAGGATGGAATAAAATAAAACAGCTTTTGACATGAGTGTGAGGATTAACTCAGGTCCCGCTTCTGCAACAAGCATATCACCAACTAAGTCATCACCCTAGCTTCTCAAGTTATTTATTTTTTATCTTATGTGTGTGTGCATTGCCTGCATGTAGGTAAGTGCAGCTGTGTCGTGCAATGCCCACAGAGGTCAGAAGAGGCTGTCAGATCCCCTGGGACTGGAGTTACAGACAGTTGTTAGCTGCCATGTGGGTGCTGGGATTCGAACCAGGGTCTTCTGCAAGAACAACCAGTGTTCTTAACTGCTGAGCCATCTCTCCAGCCCCTCAAGTTATTTTTTTAATTGCAACAAAATACTATTTAGCAGCTGTCTTTCTTAAAATCAGTCTAAGTACTTTTTTTTCAACAAGCAGAATTTATACCAGTTTTTTTTTTTCAAGTTTAAAACAGAGGTTTTTAAAAAATGAGGGCTTTAAAAAAATTTTTTTTGAGACAGGGTCCCCTTGTAGCCCCAACTAAAACTTGTTATATAGACTAGACTGACCTTGATCTCACAGAGCTCCATCTGCTTCTGCCTCCCAACTGTAGGGATTAAAGGCATGTGCTACCATACCCAACTAAAACCAGGGCTTTCAAGTTTATCTAGAAAATATAACTGAAATTATCAGAAAAATCTCCTCTACTCTCTGTATTTTAAATTTTCAAGTGCAAGGCAAAGTTGAACAAAATGCCCCTGTGAAGGAGAACATGTCCTCTGTCTAAGCCTCAGACAACAGCCACACTAACTGCACCAGGGACTCCAGGACTTTCAATTCTTAATACGAACTTCAGAATTTGAACTTGGTTCACTTACCTAAAGTCAATCTCCGCAAGAGTTTCCAGCAGTTCTGTTCTTACCAACCAGTAGGAGCTATTCTTCAGAGGCAGCACATCAATGAGCAGCTGTAATCCCAGGTCACTATAGCTGCTGCTGCAGAGACTCGGGACACAGTGCTGAAAAACAGCACCCATGGAAGGAGCAGGGTCAGCCACCACATCTTAAAATAGTACTCCTACACATGTACCTGTTGTATGTGTGTATGTGTTTTTTAAAAACAGCAACAGGGATGTGATAGGCTCCTAGAAATGTTCCAGGTAACAGGAAATGTTCCACCTACTCTCACAGAGCCAAGGGTCTTTAAACAAAAGACAAACAAACTGAGGTCAGCTAAATAATCTCTACATTTCATTGCAGCTCAATACAGACAGTCCGAAGACATATTTTAAGAAAGTATTTTATTTATTATTTTTATCTTATGTGTATGAGTATATTGCCTGCATGTATATATGTAAGTGCCCCTATGTCTTGCAATGCCCAGGGAGGTCAGCAGAGGGCGTTGGATCCCCTGGAACTGGAGTTATGACTGGTTGTTGTGCTAGGAACTGAACCAGGGTCTTCTGCAAGAGCAGCCAGTGCCCTTTACCATTGAGCTATTTCTCCAGCCCCAAGATAGTATTTTTTTAATTAAATGGATTTTATATTTGATAACAGGTTTATTCCTAAACATTTAGCAGAAAGTATGTCTCAAATAAATATTTTGAGACTCAAAACTCAAAAGTTTATTAAGTTTTAACATATAGCACTATTTTTCAAAATCTGAGTGGTGAATCCATGAATGTATAGTTTATAGCTTTAGAATGTGTGGAAATACGTCCTATTAAGGTCCAAATTTAACTGAAGCCCATAAAACCAAGAAAGGGTTTTTTTTTGTTGTTTTTTTTGTTGTTGTTTTTTGAAACAGGGTCTCCCTGTAGCCCCAGCTATCCTGGAACTCACTATATAGACCAGGCTGGCCTTGAACTCACAGAGCTCTGCCTGCCTCTGGCCTCCTGAGTGCTGGGATTAAAGGCGTGCGCCACCAGCCCGGCCCAAGAAATGTTTTATGTAAGATTATACTCACCCTAACAGCTGTGCAAGCCAACTTGCAAGTAACAGAAGAGTCATCCTTCAAAGTTTTCTGCAGCAGAGGAATGCAGTCCACAAGAGAAAATGTATTTCCTAACCAGAAGAATGAGCAGTAAACACCTCCATGGAAACATGAATGTGCGAGCAATATCCAGAAAACACACCATGGACAAACTGGCCCTTACCTGTCAGGGTCCTGATGGTGCCCAGCCAGTTGCCCACATGGAGCCGAGACCTGCTGAGGATGGAGGACACTAGGGTCCCACAGAGAATGGCAGTAGCTCCTCTGACCTGTGGGTCTCCATGATCGATATAGGTCAAGATGTCTGAGACATACTGCTCCTCTGTGGATACAAATGGCCCAGCTGTACCTTCCCCAATGACAGCGTTATACCTCAAATAACCTTGTTCTCAGAAAAGGAAAAAAGAGAGGCACTCCATGTCTGCAAATGACTTCACTGTAATACCCTACATAGTAAAAGATGTTTGGGGATTTACAGATTCTTGACTCATCACACTGCTGGTATCTCAATACAACAGACCTTCCAAATTGTGAGTTCAGCTTGTCAGATAAAGTCAAACTTCCAAAATTTCATTTGAAAATAAAGATTAAAAAAAGTCAATCAATCTAATGTAGGTTTGTCCACAATGAATTCGAAGAGTCAAGACTGTGAGCAGCAGCTTCTTAAGTAACAATTACAGGGGAGGAAAAGAGGCACATTTCCAACATACCAGGGCATTTCGAGGCATCAAGAGGTACTTTATACAGTTTGCTGAAGAAGGATTCTGGATGAAGGGCCACGGCTGCTCCAACACAGCTAAGGGCAAGGGCCTTCACACTGACCCTCACATCCCTGTCTGGAACCAGAGCTGAAAAGAAACCACCCAGGTCTGCTTTAGCTACTTCCAGTGCACAGATCACCCTGTCTTGTTTCTTCCCATCTGTCACAAATCAGTGGAAAGCAAAGTTCACCCCAATAATAACTTGACAACGGACCACCAAACTCTGGAATCTCAAGTATCTCCTTAACTTTGCATCTCTCCTCCTGTGCTTACCTTTCTTTTCCCCAGTTAACAAAAATGAAGCGGATAAAAGGCGGACACAATGGACCAAAGGAGCAGAATCATCATCGGTAGACTGTCCTATGTCACCTTTGATTCGGCAAGGCTACAACAGAGAACAAACACATTTGGTTTTGTTAGTTCAGGGAACAGAATGAGCAATCCTGGGGAGCTAGGAACATAGAGGCCTGTATTAGCCATATACAAGCCTGACCTCAAACACAGCTGAGTAGAACCTGACACCTCAGGACCCTAAGACACAGGGTCACAGGGCTGTGGCAGGTGGGGAGCACAGTATGGAGATGGGGCATTGGTCAGGGAAGGAGCTAAAACCAAGACTTCAGGAAAGGCTGCTCTGAGTGGTACATCACAAGTACTCTTCTACCAGAAAAGCAGAAGAGCCTCAACAGAGAAAAAGCCAGGGAAGCCCAGAGGTTAGAGGCCTTCAAAAGGCACCTGGACGGTTCCCTGTCAGACGATGCCATTCTGACTGATGAAATTAAGCTACGAATTACATTTCTTAAAGTTAACCGTGAAGACAGTACTAGGATGCAAGAGGCAAACAATCCACAGAGAGGTTTGAACAGGTGCACGGAACCAAACCAAAAACTGATGCAAAGCTGTGCACAAGCCTCCCATGAATGATCCAGGGCACTGGCAGGGCACAGCTCAGCACAGGGCACATGGCAGGGCAGGACTCCCAGGGGAGGCAAACCTGAGGCAACTGTTAAGAATCTGGATATTCCTGGGGAGGCAAAACACAAGCACAGGCCAGGGCCTGCTCAGTGTGCGAGGGGAGTGAAGTAAGTTCAGAGCTGGAACAGAACAAATTAGGGGACAAATCCAGGGTAATTCCAACCCTCACACACAAGCCACCTCCTACCTCTACAACTCACCTTGTTTTCAGGATCACCCGCTTCAGCAACTTCGTCTCTAGGTCCGAACTTATCTATGCTGCTATCAGAAGGCTGCCTGCTATGACCCATTCTTTCTAATAAGTGTGCCTGTTGAAGGGCTTTAAAAACAAATCAAAATTAAGTGACAAGTTTCCAATTAAATGTATTTACACAAAGACAACATGGAAGTATAGGATTTAGATCAAGAAAAGGTCTGATCACAACTAAATTGTCATTTTGACCTGCTATTCACAACGCAAACAATAAAGACCAAAAGATTTCTTCTAAGAAGTGAAGATAAAACAAAGATCGCTAAGGCTGAAATCACACCTATCACATAAAGCAAACTGACCCAGAGAAGAGCTTCCGAAAGCATCTGAGACTTCACCAGGAAGAACACCTGCAATCTCCTCCTCCTCGTCCTGCGGCTGTCCAATGTGCATGCCCAAACACTGGCTGTCAGCACCATCCAACACCTGTACAGATAACCGGAGGCTGTGAACACTCAGAAGTGTAATCGTCAGGGACAAGCCCCATACATGAGAAGGAACAGCCACAAATTGAGCTGAGCGTATGGCAGATACAGAGTACAAAGACCATGCTGCTTCAGCAGGGCACACACGGAACACAAGAAGCACCTCCTCAACACCCACACGTGTGCATGTGCACGAACACCAAGAAAGTTTACTGATCGCATGTCATTACTATGCTATGAAAAGCTGTGCTGTGGAATGCTATCTGGGCATGACGCAGCTATACAAATATGCTCACTCATATTTGGCTCCATAATAAACACCCTCTTACCTCCTCTTTGAGGGGAGAGTTGTGTTTTTGTATCAATAATTCCATATTACAACATGTTTTACATCCATTTAAAGTCTTTTTTATGTAATTTACCTGAAAAACTGAACAATGGGGGTTAGGGAGATGGCTCAAGGGGTAAAGCACTTGCTCTACAAGCATGAGGACCTAGGTTCAAATCCCTAGCACCTAAGTAAAATCAGGTTTACAGCGCATATCTGTCACCTCAGCTATGATGGAGACAGGTGATCCCAGGGACCTGCCGGCCAGTCAGCTTAGCCAGAAAGGTGCTTGTACACATGTATACGTGTGGGCTCTAACCTGGGTTTGGTTCCCAGCATCCATATAGCAGCTCACAATCATCTATAACTCCAGTTCCAGGGACTCTAACACCCTCATCTGGCTTGCAGGCAGAGCACACACACGCTGCACACACACGCAGGCAAAACACTCATATACATAAAAAATAAGCTTTCTTCTTTATTTTTAGTCTTTTTGAGACAGGGTCTCCCTGTAGCCCCACCTGTCCTGGAACTCATTATATAGACCAGGCTGGCCTTGAACTCACAGAGATTCTCCTGCCTCTGCTTCCCAAGTGCTGGGATTAAAGGCATGCACCACCACACCCGGCTAGAATAAGCATATTTTTTTTTTAAATTAAAAATGTTTAATTCCAGCACTCGGGAGGCAGAAGCAGGTGGATCTCTGTGAGATCAAAGTGAACATGATCTACACAGTGAGTTCCCATGCCAGCTGGGGCTATAGGGAGACCCTGTCTCGAAAAAAGAACCCAAATAAATAAACAGAAGTAAATTTTTAAAATGAAAAACAATGTTCAACCTATATAATCAAAGGTAAGCAAGAAATCAATTTCCTGTATCCTCTTCCTTCAAGGTCTACCACGCCCTGAAAGCTACGGAGTGGCTCGGTGATGCTGTAGGAAGGAGGGTTTTTACCACCATCAAAAGAAGCTACCACCTGGGAGAACACATCCAGGTCAGGGGTCTTCAGTCATGTGTGCGCATGTGTGCGTGGGTGCACACACAAGCACATGTATGATCATGCATGTGAAGCTGGAGCTTACCAATCTAGAATAAACTAGCTGACCAGCAGAACTCAATCATCCTCCTGCCTCTGGCTTCCCAGGCCAATGTCCAGCTTTTCACATGGAAGCTGACAGAGCCATCTCCCCAGCCCCTATGGCCACAACTCAACAGATGCTCTACATCTGACTTGCAATTTAGTGTTTTATATCCATTCCAACATCTCATCTATATTTTAAAAATGCTGTCTGTACACAGCCGGGCGTGGTGGTGCACGCCTTTAATCCCAGCACTCGGGAGGCAGAGGCAGGTGGATCGCTGTGAGTTCAAGGCCAGCCTGGTCTACATAGTGTGTTCTAGGACAGCTGGGGCTACAGGGAGACCCTATCTCAAAAAGACCAAAAAAAAAAGCTGTACACAACTTAAAATTTAGAGCAGGTTGAAAAAAAACCCTTGCAATGATCTTAATGAAATACACTCAAAAGTAGCCAAACATTTGACTGTATAAACTTCTTAAAATTAAAACTGGAATGTAAAAACTATTGTACTCCGGGCTAGAGAGATGGCTCAGCAGTTAAGAACACCGACTGTTCTTGCAGAAGACCCAGGTTCAAATCCCAGCAACCACATGGCAGCTAACAACTGTCCAGTCCCAGGGGATCCAACAGCCTCTTCTGTCTTCTGTGGACACTGCACGGCACGGGTACACTTACCTACATGTAGGCAATAAATAAAACACTTTTTTTTTAATTAAAAAATAAGCTATTTCACTCATGTGTATACCGAAAAGAATTGAAAGCAGAGTCTCAGACTTTTGTAAACCCAAGTTCACAAGTACCATTGTGAAATCATTAAGAGGTGGAAGGATTGCAGTCTGTCTATACAATGGAATGTTATTCAGCCCTAAGAAATGAGGAAATTCTTACATATGCTACATGGATAGGCCTTAGGGTCTATGTTACATGAAATAAGCTGGTCACAGGACCAATACTACATGATCCCACTCACATGAGCAAACTACAGTGGTCAAACTTATAGATGATCAGAAAATGGAAGAGTGGTTTCAAGAGGGCAGTGGGGACAGATGGTGGAGATGATTGTATCACATTGTTTCAAAGCATTCAATGCCATTGAACTGTACACTTAAAAACAGGAGAAGAGGAGGAGGAAATGATGATGATAAAAGTCCTTATACACGTCAGATGTGGTTCACAAGCACAATCTCAAAAGTCAGAGGTTGGTGTAGGCAGATTTCGAATTTGGGGCTGGTCTGGGATGGGACCCTGTCTCAGAAATACAAAACAAAAACAGGTAAGCAGGCATTAAAAAATCCACAACTCAGGATGCACACCAAATTTTCTAATTTTTTGATTCCATACAATTTGCAGTATGTCTTGTCCATAACTTAAGACATCAGAGGGACAGAAATATGTGCTATTACAAAATGGGGTATGATGTAAGCAAAGTGCTAAAATAAGGTGCAGTATTAATATTACTAGTCACCTTTCAATAAGACCATAGATGTGTAAAATTAAGAAGGTCCCTGAAGATTTCTTTCAAGTGATTATTATTTATCCAAGTCCAACTAGGTGTTAAAGAGTGGCAAGTGTACACTACACATAATGAATCTGACTTTGACCTCTATGGTTCAGTGCCAACGATACCAGGCTATTTTCTCCGAGAAGGCCCAAGCCAAGCCAAGTTCTCTGTCAGTGATCTGAGCTGGTGACGTTTGCTGCTACTGGTAGAGTGAGGAAAGACAAAGCAGGGCCCAAGTTTGGGCGTCCAGGATGAGCTCAGGAAGGAAACAGGCTCTCCAAACAACAGAGCATCCTCTGCCCACTTACCATTTCAGAACTGTCGGAAGGAGTCACAGCTGAATCAGGCCCTTCAGTGGTGGTTTGAGAGCTGTCACTGATGGGTGAGGATGCCTGGGTCCCATCGTTCAGGTCCATGGCAGGGTCAGACAGGACGGCACTAATCTGGCTGGAGCTGTGGCTCAAGATGTCCTCCTCATCCCCATCAGTGGCAGCACTGGTCAAGTCACAGCTTGACAGATCCACAGAATCCGCCTGAAGTGTGTGCTGGGACCGTGGCTGCTCGGTGATGATGTCGTGAACGACAGACGCAGGAGTGGAGACACCAGAAGAAGCACCCAGCTCTCCACTGACTTCACTCTTCACAGAGGCTAGAAACAGAATAAGTCACGTGTTAAATAGCCAGAGGAAACTGGCTAGAGAATCCAATGTTCAAACTGTGACATGTTCACTGTATTGACTGCTCAAACTATAAAACAGCCTGGAGCACAGTGAGAATAAGAGCTGGCAGTAAACAGAGCTCGTTTATCAAGCAGATTCTCTAAGGCTATGAATATTCTCTAACAGGGTTCCATCACCAAAACCCAAGTTCAAGTCCTCAAGCAGCTCTAGAGCAACACACAGGATGAGAGTAAATCAGAGGCAGCCTGGGCAAGGACACAAGAGAATGCCCAGGAGCTAAACAAGCAAGGACAGAAACAACATACATCACCATCTCTTTGGGGTGGGCCTGTCTTCTACCCCAGGCCTATTCTCCTACATGATGAATACACACATTTTCCTAGTTCAGTTTTGAAACTCTCACTTAAAAGGCAAACACTACATAAGATCGACATGACAGAAAAGATTAACACCAGCCACTTGTGGTGGCACACATCTTTAATCCCAGCACTTGGAAGGCAGAAGCAGGTGGATCTCTGTGAGTTCAAGTCCAGCCTGGTCTACATAGTGAATTCCAGGACAGCTGGGGCTACAGGGAGACCCTGTCTCAAAAAGATGTTTAATCCTGGCACTTGAGAAGCAAAGGCAGGTGGATCTCTGTGAGACCAAGGTCAGCCTGGTCTCCATAGGGAGTTCCAGGCCAACTGGGGCTACAGGGAGACCCTGTCTCATAAAGACTAAAAAATAAATAAATAAATAAATAAATAAATAAATAAATAAATAAATGAATGAATGAATGAAGTAATCTTAAATAACTACCTGTGAGCAGAAGTATTCTTTCAAGTTAAATTAGCCATAGACAGTTCTCAACACACTCCCCTCACCATGACCCATCTAATTCATGAGAAGACACCTCTACCTACCATCCCCTACCGAAGAAGATACGCTCAAGGATGATAAACCAATTTTTAAATAGAGTAAAATACAGAAAATACAGTCACATTTCAGAGTGAACATTATAAAAATAGCTGAACTGCCCATTCTCTGAGCAGGCTGGCCCAGCCCCACCATGCTATGTGCAGGCTGAGGTATGCAAGGAGGCAAAAATGGTGGACAGTAAAGGAAAGCTGGCCCTGGCAGCTGACAGAGGCCAACTACCTGCAAAGGCGGAGCTGCTGACATCTGACCTCGATTCTGAGTCATCTTCCAAGGCTTCTTCTTCTCCTATGAGCACTTTGCCTAGTAAATAATAAAGCAACACTGTTTAATTTTGCTATGAATAATGGTTTTAAAAATTAAATGTACACTCTAAACTGAAGTCATAGATGTATTTAATTTACTTTGGTACAGTTTACCTATCACATATTTTAGACTGTGACAGTCTTAAAGAATGCAGATACTTGTGTGTAGAATACTGTAAAAAATCAATAAACCAACATAGGGGGGAAAAAAAACCAGAAATGACTCTCAAATTATACTACAAATATCTTACTCATTTAGATTATTGCTGTTAAAGACTTTATATTACTATTTAATAAATGAGTAACTTAAAGTCCATCAATCACCCATGGGATGTCCATGGTCTATGTCCAATGGCACATGAGGACTTGTATATGAAACTTTTATAGAAATAAAAACCAGACAGTATCTTTTTATTTTCTTGACTATAGTTAAGAATCTGGGAGAACAAAATATTTTCTTGTAAAGTTCTAAAAATATATTTCATAGTTTATGCTCGAAATTATGTTAGAAAGTCAAGTTTACTATCTTTATGGCTATTTTATACACAGCTGTCATGAGATGACATCATGGTAGTTGATCCTGTCAGTTTGACTGAATGGGAGCTACCAGAGGAAACCTCTGTTGTGCCTGAAAGGCAGTGGAGGCACCGAGACAGGATTAATGGGAAGACTGGTGCTACTGGTGCTGAATGTGGGCAGCACTGCCCCATGTTGGGGCCTGAAGAAACAAGGGAAAGAGCACGCCCACAGGCCCAGGCAATGTCTTCCCCTCTCTGCTTCCTGGCCACAAGAAGATGAGATGCTCTGTCTGCTCTACCATTCCTTCCTCACCAGGACCGACTGAGACCTCTGAAAATGGGAGTCAAAACAATTTTTTTCCCAGTATGTTGTCAAGCCTTTTGTCGCAGTGAAGAAAAACTCAAACATACGATCTCGTTACTGGCAATTTGAAGAAAAACTCAAACATACGATCTCGTTACTGGCAATTTCCAGTTTCTAATGTTACTGCTCTTCAAAGAACAAGTCAGAATGCTGATAATTCCTATGAATGAAATTACATGATATAACATTAAAAGCACAAGATAATTAGCAAAGAAAACCTAAATCTATGCAAAATTATCACAGTGACTTGGCATAAATACTAATAGCCTTTCATTAACAGAACATGTAGTTTAAGAAACCAAATAAAGGTTGGAAAGATAGCTCAGTGGTTAAAAGTACTTAGTGCTCTTGTAGAAGATCCAAGTTCAGTTCCCAGCACCGACACGGTGGCTAACAACTGCTCATAACTCCAGTTCCAGGGGATCTGATACCCTGTTCTGACCTCTATGAGCACTGCATAACACGGGTGCACTTACATACATGCAGGCAAAACACTTACACACATAAAATTTTAAAAAAGAAATCAAATAAAATTCAAGAACAGTGAATTTGGATCTTGATGGAGCAGTTTTCTACCCTCCAAATCAGTGGATTATGGTTATGCACTGGGGAAAGCTCTCCAGGGCAGATCCCTTGAAGATGGTAAAAGAAGGGCCGCCAACAAAAAGAGCCTGGCCACCTCAGGCCTCACCCCAAGTCTGCATGCATCACAGCTCTGCTTTGCTCCACCTTGTATCTGGCAGGTTGCGTTTGAACAAAAGAATCTTACAGTTACGAAACAAAGCATGAAAGTCACAGTTCTGAAAAAAAAAAATCAATAAAATATGGAGGAAATAGCTCATCTCAAACAGAGGCGCTCACAACAACTTATCAACAGTGCCACCTTTCTCATCATCTCTGGACAAAGTGATTACGGAACAAGTAAGTTACAGAGTGTATTTATCAAGTGTCCAAAGACCTGTTCTAGTTCAAGAACAGAGAGACTGACATTTCCTAGACTCCTTTGGGCCTTCAAGCAACTGCAGGGTCTCTCTCAAATTTCACACTTGAGGGGCTGGAGAAATAGCTCATCGGCTAAGAACACTGGCTGTTCTTGTAGAAGACCCGGGTTTGAATCCCAGTACCCACATGGCAGGTAACAACTGTCCATAACTCCAGTTCCAGGGGATCCAATGGCCTCTTCTTTCCTCCATGGACATTGGACAACATGGGTGCACTTACCTACTATATGCAGGCAATACACTCACACACATAAAATTTAAAAAAAAATTCACAGTTGATTAAGTACCCCCACGCTCTGAGAGCTCTAATGTCTTTCTCTCTCTCTCTTTCTTTCTTTCTTTCTTTCTTTTTTTAAGTATTTTATTTATTTTTTTTATTTTACATGTTTGAGTGTTATGCCTGCATGCAGGTAAGTGCACCCATGTCATGCAATGCCCATGGGACAGAAGAGGCTGCCGGATCCCCTGGAACTGGAGTTAGGGACAGTTGTCAGCTGCCATGTGGGTGCTGGGATTCGAACCCAGGTCTTCTGCAAAAACAGTCAGTGTTCTTAACTGCTGAGCCATCTCTCCAGCCCCCTAATGTCTTTCTTTTTAAGGAATGAGGTCTTGCTACAAAGCCCAAAGCCATGTTAGTGTCCTGGGCTCAAGCAATTCCTACCTCAGCATCTGGGTGTACACTACATCCAACTCCCAAATGTTATTGAATCCAAATTCTTCAAGTAACTGTTCACTTAATTCAGTGTAAACTAGAGTATTATTCCTGTTAAGATCTCATTCCAAAGTTGAGTTACATAGTGAGACCCTGTCTCAAACTAAAAATAACTTATTATTAAGAGTTTAAGCTCTCAAACACTGAAATTATGACACAGAAAAAAAAATCATCTTTGCATGCTGGAGAGACAGCTCAGGAGTTAAGAACTGAGTGTGTACTGCTCTTGCAGAGGACGCAAGTTTGGTTCCCAGCACCCACACTAGGAACTCATGGGCATGTAGCATATACCAAATAAAAATAGAGATTCATCTTTTAAGATTTCAAAATTAAAAGACAATTGACTGCAATGCTTTCCTGTGAAAATCCACAGTAGAAAGGAAACTACTAATGCTGCTGCAAAAGGGTGAGGTTTGCAGAGCTACCAAGGGGAGAGTAGAAGCACCGCCACTAATAAAACACACCACCCATCGCAACACTGGCATGCACGACGTGGCTGGAAACTGAGAGTCAGGCCTAAATGAAATGATTACCCAAAGAAATAAAGCTATTTAATATTCCTAATAGCAAATAAAACTTATTGAGAAGTTACCTTTATAAAACATAGTAGCACATTCTCATGCACTGGGCGTGGTGAGGTATACCTTTAATCCCAGCACTCTGGAGGCAGAGGCAGGTGGATCTCTGTGAGTTCAAGGCCAGCCTGGTCTACATAGTGAGTTCCAGGACAGCTGGGGCTACAGGGAGACCCTGTCTCAAAAAGACCAAAAAAAAAAAAAAAAAAAAAAAACACAATAAAAAAAAAAAAAAAAAAAAAAAAAAAAAAAAAAAAAACCATAGTAGCACATTCTCTAAAGCAAGCCTGAGCCAGCCTGCATCTATTACAGGAAAACAGCTCAACTCAGAAGCTCCCATACTATCTTGGCTGTTTTGGGGCCACAGGGCAGAGAGGACCAGCTACAAGAAACCTTGTGGTCCGTAAGGTTAAAATAGTTGCGCTCTGGTGATGACTTGTGACCCCAAACATTAGAATTTACGATGAAACAATGCAGACACAGAAACCATTTTCACATGACAAAATTTCAGGCCTGGCTATCAGATTCCAGTGAGTCATATAGTCACTCTCCCAGGGAAAATGCAGAGTCCAAAGCATTATGGAAACACAGAAACAGCAGTATATTCAACACAAGACTCATTTCTGAAATAATCACCTTTTTGTTTCCTTGAAAGGACAGGGCTGCTCGAAGAACCCCCTCCAGCTGTAAATCACAAAGTGACAGATGAAAGCAAAGTAACAAGCTGTAAAATCTGTAAGATATTTGAGAATCCTTGAAAAGCTAGATCCAAATCCCAAAACTAGGGGGAATATAGACCTAGTTCCGTAAGAAGTGCTTTATCATCATAGTTTCAATACTTTAATTCCCATATGAAAATTACAATAATGTTCAAACATATACTTCCAAAGATATGATGGAAATGTCAAAAGAGCTCACAGAAATCACATTTAAAATTTTTTTTTTTAATTTTATGTGTATGCGTGTATTGCCTGCAAGTATGGATACACCCATGTTGTGCAATGCCCGCAGAAGTCAAAAGAGGTTGTCAGATCCCCTGGAACTGGAGTTACAGACAGTTGTTGGCTGCCATGTGGGTGCTGGGATCGGAACCCAGGTCTTCTGCAAGAACAGCCAGTGTTCTAACCCCTGAGCCATCTCTCCAGCCCAGAAATTGCATTTTAAGCCAAATTAAAATGAAGAGATCTCAGTATATTTGTCAACTAGCAATCAGATGCATGCTGTGACTGAACATGATCACTAGGGGTGAGCACTTGTCTTCATTAGCTGTAGGCATGCTTTCCATAGTAAGAACTCTTCCGTGCAAAGGACAGCAGGCATTTTCTGCTCACAGCTCAGGGAAACATACACCTAAGTTTACAAGGCCGTAATCAGACTTCTAGGCACCATCTCTAGTTTGTTGCCACAGCGAATGAGCAAGCCCACACTACAGCGGCTACGGCCAGCCCAGGCTCCATGGAACCCATCAAGGCCTGCTAAGTTGCCAGGCCCCTTCCAGAGGCTGTGATTCCTATCTGCCCCACTCACCAAGAGCATCTCAAGTCAGATAGAGCAGGCCACCACTGCCTATTCCCGAGTCCAAGCTCCATGAGCATCAAGAACAGATGCCAGGCCAGGCAGGTGTGTGCAAAGATTGGGAACGGAATGGGTTTTCTAAAGTTGGGATCCAGAGAGAAAAAAGGAATGCAAAACTCCCAACATGGACATAAAGATTCACCTCTGGCAAATGAACATGGGAGTCCGAAACACTTTACCTAGTATGTTTTTATTTCACTACACCGGAAATGCTAGGTGGGGCAGTCATGTCAGAAGACAGGAGAGCAGGCTTTAACAATAGGGCCTCATTCTAGCATTGAGTTTTCTAAACTGCAGTTTTATCTGTAGAAAAAAGATGCCTCCATTGTCAGCCTATAAAGAATTTAGGCATGGATAGCTCAGCATAGCCCCTCGATGCAACAGAAGGTTAAAAGTGTTAAAGCAGCCAGAAGACCTTGCTGAGAACACACCTAGAAGTTCCATAATGCTCCCACTGCGGCCTCGGCCCTGGGCCTCCTCTTGAGCCATGGTGAGCTGCCTGAGGCCACCTGGTGTGGTCAGTGCTTGCAGCAGCTCGGGTGGGGGAGTCCGGAAGAGCTGCTGCAAGAGCTCCAGTGCCCCGGTCACCACATTGTGGTCTTGGTGCTGCGTGTGGTGCAAAGTCAGCTCATAAACCTAGGAGCAGAAATATAGTCAGTCACTTTGTTTAAAATGTATCCTAGACTTCACTTTTTTCTCTCCATTGGCCTTTGCTGGCAAAGCTGCCACTTCTACAGGTATTACTATTACAGATATTACTGTCCACACTAATTTCTAATTCTTTTCAGATATATTAATTCCTTGAAAATCAACAGAGCACTTCCAGAGCAGCAGTACTTTATCTGAGATCTCTGATGACACTGAGGTGGAAGCACGGTTCTGAATGCCAGGAAGAGGTGAGCCAGAAAAAAACATAAGTCCAATTTTATTGGTGCTTTTCATACTGCATCATATTGTATAACTGAATGACTTTATTAGTTTTTCCTTCAAGTTTCCAGAAAAAAACCTAGGGCTACATGTGAATTTTAGATAACATACAATGGTGCAGGATAAGCATGTCCTAGGCAATTTCTAACTTACTTGTAAAATCACTATTTATGTGAAATTCATGTATCGCTGGCATCCTGCATTTTTATTTGCTAAGTTTGTTCTCCATACCATCAGGGAGCTAGAAGCAAATGCGTATTTTTCTTTTCTGGAAGTCCATGTAAAAGCACATAAATGAGCAAACACCTCCCAGGAAGCTGCCTCCAAGTCTTGTCCTCAGCTTTTCCCATGAAACCTCCACACACCCCTCAATCCTGATAAACTGCTGGCCACAGACCAGATCTCGCCTACACCTGCTTTTTACTCCCCACTTTGGGTTTTTAGGGATTTTTTTTTAAAGATAGTTTTGGGATTTTTACTTTTATATTATGAGTGTTTTGCTTTCATGTACGTAAGTGCACCAGTGTCATACAATGCCGGTGGAGGCCAGAAGAGGGCATTGGATCCCTTGGAACTGAAGTAAGGAATGGCTGCTACCTGCCATGAGGGTACTAGGGTCTGAACCCGAGTCTATTGTCAGTGCTCTTAATCACCAAGCCACACCCTCGAACACTGTTGTTCTTTTGTTTTGTTTTGAAACAGAGTATCATCTTGTAGCTAAGGAGAGCCTGAACTTCTGACACAGCCCAGGCTTGTGCTGAACAGCCACTCCTGTCTCAGCACCCCACATGCTGGGACTCAGCACCCCACATGCTGGGACTCAGGCATATCCCGCTATGCCTTCACTTGAAACTTGCTTTTGTATCTGAAGTTTCACTGAACTGTGGCCACATTCAGGGGTTATCTGTGGCTGCTTTTACTCTACAACACTAGAGGAGGTACAATGGAGACGGTCTCACCTGCAAAGCTTAACATACTTTCTTCTCTGGTCCCTTACAGAAGACACTCATGAACCCTGCTTTAGGTAAACAGTTCTGGAATCATCTGTTCTGAACAGAGCCTGTCTTGACTCCTTAGGAGTACAGAGCAACCAAGCAGCCAGCTCCCTTCACCTTCTGCCAGCTCACTGTCAGCAATATGCTACTTCCCGAGGAGTAGATTTGCCACATTTATGTGATACTATGTAAAACTAATTCTGATGGGAGGCACTCTACTTTGTTGAGACAAGGTTTCAATGTAGCCCAGGTTGGCCTCCTGTTCCATTTGGCTGGGAATGACCTTGAACCCCTGCTCCCCTCCCTGCCTCCACCTTCCAAGTACTGAGAATACAGTATCAGCACACCATGCTCTACTGTGTACAGCTTAAAACAGAATGCCAATGTCCCAAGGGAAACAGTCAAAAGGACTCTTAATTACATTCTATTACTTGCTTAAAAATGTCAATATGGGGCTGGTGAGATGGCTCAGTGGTTAAGAGCACTGGCTGTTCTTGCAGAGGACCTGGGTTCAGTTCCCAGCACCCACATGGCAGCTAACAAACATCTATAACTCCAGTTCTAGGGGATATAAAACTTCTTCTGGCCTCTGTGGGCATTGCACAACATAGGTGCAGTAGCATACATGTATACAAAACATTCATACACAGAAAATTAAAGTAAGTCAAAAAACTGGATTACAGGTGCTTTATGAATCTTGCTGGTCTTCCTGAAGCCCCCTCCTTATCAGCATAAACTCATCAGCGTTGTCTTTTCCCCAGCTTCTTAGTTATATTTATTGCAAGAAATTATTGGAGCTCCTAACATGAAGTGCATCTTTCACAACAATCAACTTGGCATTGTTCCTAGCACATTACTGGGTACGATACTTTGTTTCTTAAACTTCAAGGATTCCTGGTGGCGCACACCTTTTAATCCCAGCACTTGGGAGGCAGAGGCAGGTGGATCACTGTGAGTTTGCAGCCAGCCTGGTCTACATAGCAATTTCCAGGACAGATGTGGCTACAGGGAGTCCCTGTCTCCTTAAAAAAAAAGAGAGATTCTGTGTTTGCCAAATTCTTTATTTGGGAGAGAGGCACACATATTTTCAAACTTTTTTTTGTTGTTGTTTTCAAATCATACATGAAAAGCACACTGAGTTCCTGCTGGTCAAAAGGATTTGTATTTTGTCCAAACAGAGCTGCACCTGCAATGCTCACCACTGCATCTCCAGCATCTTCCAGAGCCAAGCACGCCCTGGGTACTCATCAGTATTTACTGGTGGATATGTACTTTTTGAAGCCCCTAGTTTTAGAAATGGGTTAACCATGGTCTCTCGTAGGCAGAATCTGAGGGACTTAAGTAACCAACCAGTACTTCCATATTATTCAAAAGATCACAGGCTGACCCCTAAGTAGGGAACCCAACAGTCCTGTCACACACCCACCTTATGAACCCTGAACTCTCTGATTCACACCAAGATGAGCTAGGTCTCTGTGTATTTCTTATTTAAGTGCAGGTTAGAGTCATTCCTACCTGGACAAGTTGCTCTGCAGAGGGGGAAACTTCCATTTCTTTCCGTGTCACCCCAAAGCTGCCTTTTAGGCTCGTATCTTTGACCTGCTGCTGAAGCAAGGGCACAAGATACCTCAAAGTGAGCAGCACGCCAAGGATTAGGAGAGTGGAATGTTCTTCCTCCACAGGAACCAGAAGACCTGCAAAGGCAGCCAAGAGACTTAGTCCTTTGCTCAGAGAGCAATGCACACTTGTGAAAACGGGAGACCAACACGAGAATCTTCCTGTATGGATGGCACAACCAAGACAAAAACACAGGCCGTGTGCCACCTTGATCAAGAAGTGGTTTTGCAGGATAACCATGTCCTTAGTCTGGCAAGACCCCTACAGGGAATGGGGAGTGCACTTGAAAGTCAGACTGTTCTATCCAATGTCCACATGCTCACTCCAGCAGCATTTGCCAGGGTCAATTTCAATAGCCACCCAAACTAAAGGAGAAATTCTCAGAGCATTTCACATAGAGTACCCAGAGAGCTGAGGTACAACCGGAGGCCTTGTGGACAGAGGACCAGGCCAGGAAAGTAGACAAGGCTATATGTCAGCTCCCATGTCCTTGGGCACAGCTGAAACTTCAAAGTTGACAAGACCACATATAGGCTTGCAGCATCCCCTAAACAATTCACATTTAGCAGTCAGCAGCTGCAAATGGCCTGGTTCAGATGCCGAGGGACTGTGTGGGGCCATGTGCACCTCCCCCTTACCTAGGAGCACATTGAGGAGCCAGTTGTAGAAGTACTGTGTCCTCCTGGAGTGCTGGCAGATGCTCACTGCTGAGCTAGCTGCTGTCCGCCGGACAGTGGGAGAGTTTGACTTCAGATTTGCTATGAAAGCTTTCAACAGAACCTGTGAAAGAAAATCAAGAGGATGAAAGCACGGCTCCTGTAGAGCTTATCACATGTCTCACAGAACTGGATTTGAACTAGGAACTGCAAATCTCGTAGGGCATAAGTTGTGACAAACCAACAGACCTGAATGGAAATACTCCAAATTTGGGACAGTGATGAGTTGCTTACAAACAGTCTATTTACTTCCTTATAAATTGAATTAGAGCCAGGCATGGTAGTG